TTGGTCAACAGTGGGAGGGGCCTACACAGCATGATCATTTGGAGGGACTACCTAACAACAACAGGTTTTTGGATTATGACGGCTCGTCCACAACGCCAGGGGCCAATGCTTGATTTATGACAAAGCGTAATGGAGTCACTAAGGTGGCCGTCTAAGACAGGTGTTATTGCTTTGTGTGATATAGGGGTTGTGTGTTGAAATATGGTGGCCGCGGCCGCGTTGGACAGGTGCCCGTTTCACACAGTTAAATTATATAGAAAAAACGCAAGGGGGGAAATAGAAAGTGTCCGTTTGTACAGTTGGCCGTCTTATAGAGGTGGCCGTCAGGGCAGGTTCTACTGTAGTTTGGTTTCATATGAGAGGCATTTTGTTTTTGTTACTTATATGCGATACAAAAGAAATTCTGACCGCTGATTGGTCACATAAGATGTAAACAATAAGCGAAGCAAATAATGGTTCACTATGCAGGTGTCATGGATGGTTTTCAGAAACAGATAAAGTTCGTTGCAGGAGAAAAATAAATGAAGCCATGTCAGAGGGGGCGTGTCACCCTGAAAGCCAATTCGTTGAATCCGAGAGCTTGTTGAAACCGAGTTATTTTTTACACATTTTAATTAATTTTTTAAAAACCCAGGGATTCCATCTCATTTTGTGGAATCCAAGTTTTCATTGAATCAGAGTTCCACTGTTATTTTTGTTTTATCTGTTTGAGATTAGAATAAGGACATAATTTCTCCGTAGAGCACAGGTACAAATGGCTGTTATCACACACAAGGATTTGCTCTCCACAAAGGAGGTTCTGCCTCTAGAAGAGCACGTGGATCAAAGGGTTGACAAAAAAAAACCCAAACCCTCTAATTTGATTCAACGGACAAGAGAAAACAATCAGTTTAAAGAAAATTAGAAGAGAAATGCGTGGCGTTGATGGTCTACGTTGCGAAGGCTCTCTAACTCGCACACATAAGGTCATGGGTTCGAAACCCGTCAGGGACCCGACATATCCTTGGGAAAGACACTTAACACAAATTTTCCTCCTTTAGCCAAGGTGGGAATGGATACCCGGCTATAGACAGTGAAAGATCTTGTCAATTTGTAGTGTTTGAGCAGGAGCAATCCGAAGCTTGCATTGTGTGCTTCCCTGGAAGCTGAGAACGTTTCTGAGTGTTCTACCGTCTGCTCGGTAAATAATGGTTGTAAAGTATGAGCATGCTGTAAAGCATATATGTGCTATAGAAAATTTAGGCAATTATTGTTATTATTATTATTTCTATTAATATCTTATATCAAGTATTTTTTAAAAAATGATTAATATGATTCAATTTTACAGTTTGGTTACGGTTAAGGGAAATATCCTTTGGGCAGCGTGTTTTCCAGTGAGGCTATTACTCGAACCAAGTATACAGCAAGAAAAACATACAGACTAATAAAACCTATCAAACCCTTTTCAAATTGACTCATTTGTATTTTTTGGGTGTAGAAACTCCTGTCTTGCATCCAACCAATACCTTTGAATTTATATAGGCATTAAATAAACTATTACTGACAAAGAACTGATGAGAATATTTGCTCCAAGTTTTGAAAAGAAAACAAGTTGTCAAAGCTTTCGGCGTACACCAAAAGGCTTACTGTACTATAAAATATTCTTTAAAATTAATAATGAGAAAGAAAACAATAGACGTAGAGCAATGTAATGATACTAATTTTGAAAGAGCAGAAATGAAACGATTAGCTTGAAAGAATTCAGAATGAAGAGGTATGTGGACTGTTCTCGGGTGCACATAAGACATATCCTCTATGCGTTATCTCCTGAACCTCCCAGTTATGGTAGAATGTCAGAAGATAGCTCAGGTTAGAGTGTATTTTTGAGAGTCAGCGCCGTTAATCCGCACCCGTTGCATAATTAAGTGAGTAGAACTGTACGCAAGTGTCTGCTTAGAGGGACTGAATGGATGAATGAGGCAGCCACGATTTTGGCTAAATGCTGTGAATGCAAGACATCTGACAGGGCAGCGCATGGGTCAACGCGTCACTGACACACTTGGGTAGTATACTCGAGTGGTAGAGTAACCTTAGGTAGAGAATGTCGTAAGTGGCCAGAAGGAGCAGCCAATGCCGAGGTAGAGACGTTGATAGAGGAGAAAGTGAACAGGGCGATGTAGTCATCTTAACAAATGGATCAGTACAGCATGGGGTAAACTCCGAATGGGCTTTCAGCGCCCTTGTAAATGGGGTTTTATACAGAGAGAGCTGTCAGACACCACTAGTGTAACCACGTCCAGCATCTGCATATGTGATGCAGCGTGGTGGAATCACGCTCTCGTCAAAATAATCAAAGTGAAGAAACTTGCATTTTTCCGTAGGTTTGTGAATTTTTATCAATTTTTTGTTTTTTGGCTCAACACCTGTCTTGCCCATAAAAGAACTAATTTCTGTATGGATTTTTAAGAGAAAAGCGTTGATTAAAGGCATAAAAATGTAAATTTTCAGTTACCATGGACTCTTAAGCTAAGGAAATTTAAAAAGTAATCTTTGATGGCCATTTTCTCACTAATTTTACCTCTGAAAACAGGTGACCCCCACCTCCTTCTTTTGCAAATATCTTGACTTGTATTCAAGATAAATGTATATTTTTTTCATCCAAATAAAGACAGGTGAATAAGCTTTTAGATGATACCAATAACTCTACATGCCCAAAAATTGACGACAGCCTGATTCTACAACGCTGCCTCACATATGGAGATGAAGGCCATCACAGAAGCCGTAAACTGGATTTAGGCGACGGGCATCGGACTGCCATCCTCATCACTGATGCAATGAGTACCCTCGAAAAGGTGAAGAAACACATGATGTATGCAGGCTGGTGGGAGGTGATACAATAAGCAGCAGACTCACAAAGATGGTATGGATCTTTAGCCCTGGTCATGCAGGAGTTTGAAGCAATGAACGTGCTGATAAGCTAGTCGGCCAGGCTGAGGTTGGTGGCACCATGCAATTAGATCCACCAACAGTCATGGCAGCATTGACAGTTAGTATGGTTCAATGACCCCAAAGAAGATGAAGGCACCACATCACACACAATGGAAAGATTGAGGGAAGTTGGTCGGGGAGAGACAGCAACCTTCTAGGAGAAAAGCCAGAACAATATCCAATCAGCTGATGGCACAATTCAGCAAGCAGACCCTTTCATGATGAATGCATCCTGGAGAGGAGTCGAGGAGAAGCTTTGCAGGCATTGTACCACCTGCAACGATGCCTATTCTCCAACCAAATAAGTAAGTAAGAGAGAAATCAATGGACAAAAATATAATAAACTTCACTTTCCGTAAAACTAGCATAGTAACCGAAAACACTTTATGCGCGTACCGGTAAAAAAAAAAAAAGAGAGACACAATTTCAAAGAATTTGTCAATCACAATCATCACTTAGCCAAGTGCTTTTTCAGTTCAAAATGAAAGGCAATGGACACCCGTTAACAATTCAACTATGAAGTGCACACAAATCAACAGATAAAGAAGATCAATTGGTTTTTAAAATGAATTGAAAATGGACCTTTCGACATATCCACGGAAGTCGAAAATAGCGAGCTTCGGTATGCTGTGAGATTGTTTACTTGCCCCAGCAACAGGCTCGAAACTGTCCCCAATATGTGATCTGCGTCATCGTTCTGTGCGTACAATGGAAAAGGAAGTAGCTCTTCAGCACAACAATTGGTGACGTATTGCACATACAGCAGAAATCTGTGGAAACTTCCTTATCGGGAAGAACGTCTTCCAGACTGATATCAAGTCCAAACTTTCGTTTTCACTAGTTTTGGAAGCTCAAGGGTGCTTTCGAACCTTCTCAACAATGAGTCTCAAGGTCTACTTAAGTAATGCAACTGTCAGCAGTGAGGTATGTATTCTTTTGCTCCTCGCCTTGTCCCATTACAAAAACAAACGGTTGCTCTCTGGCACTGTCTTGTCTGTCTCACTCTCACTCTCGGCTCGGTCTCATCTAACTCGGTCTCAAGCCCAACAAGCTCTTGATTAGTCTTGAAGCCTAATCAAATCTCAACAACGCATTGCTGCTGACTTAACTGCTTGGTGACTGACACTGAACAACAAACATAATGGTAAAGAAAAGGGTAACCAATAAACCTTTAGAACCCTGAACATGCAACCCCCTTGTGCCTTGGCTTTGGCTTTTCGAAGGAATTCTGTAGAGTAAGGCCACCTCCCGGGTGAGAATAGCGCAGGCGAGCCTTTTGGCTATTCTCACCAGGTGTGCGTTCACCATTATAGCCTAGGCCTAGGCCAACCAGTGTCGTGTTCACTCTTAACCACATAATTCTACGCTGTGATAACAATTGTAGAATTCTGTGCCGTAAACAAACGTTCTTCCAGCGCTCTTGTGTTACTACTGTTAGCCTAAAAGCGTGCAATTTTGTCTGTGGGCAAGTAGAGAGAGAGAGAGAGGCGGAGCGCGAGAACTTCGGGTAAAACAAAATGGCGACCCGCGTAGTTCAGCTCGATTCGAAATGTTAAATAGCCGTAGCATCTTTGTAGATATGACCAAATTTATTTACTTTTGTGTTTTAACATGGCCACCTCTATTCTCACCCGGAGTGAGAATAGTGCAGGCGAGTCTTGTGGCTATTCTCACCCGGTGCACGTTCTCCAAATTTTGCGTTCACCCTAAACTACAGAATTCTACACTGTGATAAGAGAAAAATTGTAGAATTCTGTGCCGTGAACAAACGTTCCATTACAATTGTAGCCTACTAAAAGCGTACAATTTTGTCTGTGGGCAGTGGAGAGAGAGAGAAAGAGAGAGAGGAGTAGCGCGAGAATTTCCGGGCAAAACAAAATGGCGACCCGCGTAGTTCGGCTCGATTCGAAAAGTTAAATAGCCGTAGCATCTTTGTAGACAACCAAATTTATTTACTTTTGTGTTTTAACATCATTTTTTAACTTTGTTTTGGTCAATTTCATTGTCAACACCGATAGACAGTATTCAGAAAGAGACAGAGAGAGAGAGAAGAGGGGAGGAGTTGATCTTGCGAGAACTTCCGGGCGGGTGAGAATAGCCACTTTCTTTAACATCATTTTTAAACTTTGTTTTGTTCAATTTGATCGTCCACACCGATAGACAGTATTCAGTAAGAGACAGAGAGGGGAGGAGTAGATCTTGCGAGAACTTCTGTGCAAAACAAAATGGCGACCCCCGTAGTTCGGCTCGATTCGAAAAGTGAAATAGCCTACTTAGAGCATCTTTGGGTGCTTTTTCGGTAGTTCCCACCCCCCTTATTTGAGCCTGACCTACTTCTAGATCTAGATCTATACGTTTGAATCGCGGTGAGCTAAGATATCAAACCTAACAACAGCAAAACATTAAATTGTGGTAAAATTAGCTTACTTTTGTGCTATAACATCATTTTTTTCTTTGCTTTTGTCAATTTGATCATCCTCACCGATAGACAGTATTCCGAAATTAGAAAAACAGGTATTGTTTCTCACCGGTTGAGCATAGCCAAAGCTGCCAAATCTCACCAGGGGTGAGAGGTCGATCATATTTTTATTCTCACCCCAGGTGAAGATAGTCACTTCGAAAGAGTAAAGAGCGACCACTACTAGAGTAGACTATAGAGTAGAATAGTATAGCGAGGGTTAGATTAAAAGGGTAGGGTTTGGGTCGGGGTTAGGGTTAGCTCTAGGAGGTCTCTTCTATTGTGTTTGCTGGAGTCTTACTTACTTTATCCATCCTCTTGTACCTCTAGGGCATCAAGGGGAGAAAGAGCTTCGTGTTTCTAGCAAGTTTGATGGCCTGGCTGGGTGGGTTATTGAATATTCTCAGGTTTGCTGGGGTCATTGTGCGTAAATGAAAATCCTTCCCAAACCCTAACCTCACTGAACTTGTAACCCTAACCTTTTACTGTTTCATATCATACTAGTTACGGAATTCCTCTCGCTTTGCATACATGGCAAGAGTATCTATAATCAGGGTAGGTTGAGGCAACTTCGACAGATTCATGTAGTGCTGCAAATGTACAAAAGTAACCTATACTGCCCCGCCTTCCCACCTCTATGACCTTACTGTACTTTATGATGACCGACCAAGTCTGAGACTTTCTTAGTCCAAACTCGGCGTAAAGAAATCATTTTATTCTACCTGAAGCTACAGCGAGCACCTAGCACCCCTCTGTGATTAGCCCAAATATAGATGACGTATTTCCACCATCTATTTTTGTAGTCTTCCGGGGTTTCCCCCAAGACTCTTGGGGTTCCCTCGCCAGTGACTGTTGACTCGATCTAGATCTAGAACTTGCCGTGTTTGTTATATTTTTGTATTAATTTGTGTTATCTTTTATTTACAATCTCAGCAATTCTCATTCCTTAAATTTACCTTCTCCTGAAAGTTGTTCACAAACACACACAAAAGCTCAACAAGTGGTTTCACAGAGGTGGTGGTTTGGACATTTGTGCTCTGCCCCGTGTGGTGTTGATCAAAGAGTTGTTCATTATAATCATAATGATATCAAAGATCACTTACTTCTATAGCACCCACTCTCTGCTGGCTCTAAGGGGGTCTGACAATAATGACAGGTGAATGGGTTCATAATGTTCCTTACACTATGCCAGGGTCTGAATATATAATATTTTACGAGTCAAGATGATGAAAGATTTGCGTGGCCATCTTGGACAGGTTTTTGGAGTAATTGGAAATATTGTGGCTGTGGCCAAGTTGGACAGGTTTCATTTTGGGCAATGCTGTTATATATTTTTATAATGTGAAAGTTCATCACTTTGGTGGCCTAATACTTCTAAACCGCTTAACTTTCGAATTTGAAAAAATTAACGGTGGTTAAGAATCATTCAAAGGGTGAACAGTTATATTAAAGGAGTCTGAAGTCACTGTAGTTTAGTTTTCAGTTTTTCATTTGTTTGGTTTAGATCTAATCTTGGGAAAGTCCTTCTAAGATACCATTGTAAACAAGTGAGGCTTCCGTTCACAAGTAGTGGGTACTGATTCCACAATGACTTGACGATCATTTTTTTAAAGTCCGTTCATCGAACGGGTACCCAGCTAGTACTGAATAAATTAAATGCAAGTTGGAAGTGGCCATTTGTACAGGTATGTGTCTTGGACTTTGAACATTGTTCTTTTTAGTTCGATTAGCTTCTTGTTGTGTATTGTAACAGCAACCAGGGTTTCCTCCCTCTACTGTCCTGCAGGAATCATACTGATGGAATTCTTGCTTTTTGTCATTATCATTCATTGTAGCAGACAGTTGACTGACTCCAGCATATTCTGTAAAGCTTGAGAGGTGAATTGTGAAGGATTAATTTTGCTTTTTCCTCAGATTCGAAAGAAACAGCAGCATGTGAAAGATATCTTGAGCTCATTAAAAATAGATCATGAAATCGTTGACGTCCTTGACCCTCGCAATGATGAGGCATTGAAGTTCATGCACGCTCACAGCAAGCCCAAGAAAGCCAATCAGAAGGCCCAGCCCCCTCAGATCTTCAATGGAGACGATTACTGTGGGGTAGGAGGATTTCTTTTAGTAGTGATGTATTTGTCCTACCTTGGTTTATGTCGTCTCTCTGATGAGATTTCTCGTTTAACATTTTTAATATTTAAGTTTACGATATAAAACATTCTCATTGTTTTTTTGTATTATCTAAGGGTTTTCTTTAAAGGTCAGCTTAGATATGTTGCAACAGCTCAAATTTTCAAACCATTAGTTTTTATGCTTTTCTAACTTAATTTATACCGGCATTTTTGTTCTCTGATTTTCAAAGTTTTAAAACAGTGAAATGTAGTTCTTGTGTGGGTGGGTGATCAATTTTTAAATTCCACTACTGAGAGTGACTCCATAATGGCATTATGTAATCTTTCAGACTTCAGTTTTGTTTTTTTGTTTTTGCTGCTATGGTTTCCTATATATATAGACTGTTCAGTTTTTTGTCTTTCTAATAATTGACTTCACGATATTATTTGGACACGGTTCTGTTTAAAATAGAAATAATTGCACATCATATTTCAACTCTGCAGGATTATGAGAAGTTTCAAGAGTCACTTGAATGGGACCAACTTTACGAATTCCTGAAGCTTGAAAATCCAGACAAAACCTCAAAGGCTCAAGTAGTGATAACAGGGGTATGTATTGATGTTTATCTTGTCATTTTGCTTTCAACTTGAAATTCTGTATGACTTTTTTTGTTCTCAAATTTTGACTATATACGTCTACACACAGTGTTATATTATGTCCTAGACATAGAATAAATACACTGGAGTCCTCTGGAATCAAATCCTGCGAGATCACCTGATTTTCTTTGTTTTCGACGGGTTTATGGTTTAGAGAGGTTGCTTAGACAGAAAAGAAAACCCCAGGATTTTCTTTTCTTTTGGTTTACGACTGTTTTCGGATTAACCGTCTTTGCTTTAAGCAGACTCTACTGTATTCTTTTATAGTGCTTCCACCCTGTCAAACATTTTTACGACAAAACGTGTATATTTTTGTGATTGTTATTCCGGTACTTATACAGCATTTGCTGTCTGACCACTTTGTTTTATTTCCTATTTATTCTTTTCAAGTGACATATTTCCATGTTGAACTTTGTTATACTGTTTTGTTGTTTAAGGAGGAAGAGGAAGAAGGCAAGGAGAAGGAAGATCAGGTAGTTTGGTTTGCTGTGGCATGGTGTGAACTTGTTGTCTTCTTACACGATCACTACAACACACAGTACTCAGTGATTACTTGTTACTTTCTAAAATATATGTCTATTACCATACTAATTCCTCACAGTACATTCCTTTCTGTGGTCTATAAAAGAAATCAGTCACCCAAGTTGTAAACATGTTTTTTTTTAAAACTTGTAGTCGGTTCTTTCCAATCTGTTTCATACTCAGATTATAATACCGGTTTGCTTTCAAACTCTTTAAGGACACTTGTTTTTCTAAGTCGTCAGCCATGATGACGTCCACATATCGAAGGAGATAACTTAATGGTACAGTTAGGGTATAAGTTTTTCTTTTTCAACATGGCACATCACCTTTTGAGGGTTCTCACTGTTTCAACTGTTACACCTCTCTGTGTGTTTTTTGTGTTCTTCCCATGGAAGTTTTTAACTGCACCTCCTGTGTATATCTTTTCCTCATATTGAAAAGATGCAGAAAATTTATAGCCTCTCGTTAATAATGTGTTGGTAGAGATAGGTGTAATATTTTGAACCCACCTCGTTGCTGTATAACTGTCTGTGGTTTCTTTGTCCTATTGTGTATGTTGTCTGGTCTAGTAATAGAATTGATTGTGGTTAATATGTTTGCTTTTGCCACCCCAAGTACATCATATGTTTGTTTTATCACCCCAAATACATTTATTATATATATTTGTTTTATCACCCCCAGAACGTCACATATGTTTGGTTTATTCTCCCAGTGCGTCATGTTTGGTGAAGCAATGGAGGTTGTTGATGTTCTCAACACATTTTTCCCCCCCCCCCAAACTTCACATATATGGTCCTGGAGAGTACCACTGAGGTGTAATCTTCCTAAGGCAGTAACCCTTTAGGTTTACTGCCGTTTTTTTGTTTTTGAAGTAGAGTGGTTTATGGTCTAGCTTTGCTGTGATTAGACTGTAAAATTCTAGTTAAAGACTTTCCATTCCAACCTCTAAATATTGTTTTGTGTCATTCTGGTAGACGCATGACTTTTTAAAATTTAGGATTCCCCTCACCTTTTGGTCTGTGTCGTTAACGCGTTGTATTCAATATTTTAAAGTGACCCTGTTCTCCATCATATTTGTTTATTTTGTTATTCAGCCTGAAAAGGAGGAAGGAAAGGATGAGCCAGACAAGGCTGCAGAAGAAGAGGAAGAGGGTAAAGGAGAAGGTGAGGAGAAAGAGAAAAAGAAGGATAAGGAGGAAGAGAAAAAGAAGGACGAGGAAAAAGAAGAGGGGAAAAAGGATGACCCGGCTGCTGCTTTTAAAAACAGGTTCAAGAAAGCCTATGATGATGACGAGGAAGAGGGGCTTGATCTGAGCGCTTTTGAGGAGAAAGAAGAGGAGAAGAAAGAAGAGGAAAAAGAGGAGGAAAAGAAAGAGGATCCTGCTGCCGCGTTTAAGAACCGTTTCAAGAAAGCTTATGATGATGATGAGGAAGAGGGCTTTGATTTAAGTGAGATTGAGGAAAAGAAGGAAGAAGAAAAGAAAGAGGAAGAAAAAGAGGAAAAGAAAGATGATCCTGCTGCAGCATTCAAAAATCGTTTTAAGAAAGCTTATGATGATGATGAAGAAGAGGGTCTTGATTTAAGTGCATTTGAAGAAAAAGAAGAGGAAAAGAAAGAAGAAGAGAAGGAAGAAAAGAAGGAAGAGGAAAAGAAAGATGATCCTGCTTCAGCATTCAAAAATCGTTTTAAGAAAGCGTACGATGATGAAGAAGAGGGTCTTGATTTAAGTGCTTTTGAAGAAAAAGAAGAGGAGAAAAAAGAAGACAAGGAGGAAGAGAAAGAGGAGGAAAAGACAGAAGAGAAAGAAGAAAAGAAAGAAGAGAAAGAGGAAAAGAAAGAAGTGAAAGAGGAAAAGAAGGATGATCTAGCTGGTGCATTTAAGAATCGATTTAAGAAAGCATATGATGAGGAGGAAGAAGGTTTGGATTTAAGTGAGTTTGAAGAAAAAGATGACAAGAAGGAAGGTGATGAAAAGGAGGCAGAGGACAAAGGTGAGGAGAAAGAGGATAAGAAAGAAGCGGCTGATGCTGATAAGGAAAATGAAGAGGAGACGTCGAAGGATGAGGAAAAGGTTGCTGATAGTAAGAAAGAAGAGGAGAAAGATGAGCCCAAAAAAGATGACCCTGCTTCTGCTTTCAAAAGCCGTTTCAAGAAGCCCTATGATGACGATGAAGAAGAATTGGACCTTGGGGAGAGCAAGGAGGAAGCAAAAGATGACGAACCAAAGGAGTCAGAGGAGGACAAGAAAGCGGAGGTGAAAGATGAGGCTAAAGAGGAGCCCAAAGAGGAGAAAGAAGAAGAAAAACCAAAAGAGGAAGAGAAACCAAAAGAAGAAGAGACACCAAAAGAGGAAGAGAAACCAAAAGAAGAGGAGGAGGAAGAAAAACCAAAAGAGAAAGAGGCACCAAAAGAGGAAGAGAAACCAAAAGAAGAAGAGACACCAAAAGAGGAAGAGAAACCAAAAGAAGAAAAAGAGGAAGAAAAACCAAAAGAAGAAAAAGAGGAAGAAAAACCAAAAGAAGAAAAGGAGGAAGAAAAACCAAAAGAAGAAAAGGAGGAAGACAAACCAAAGGCTGAAGAAGAAGATGCAGCATCGAGTTTTACGAGATTTCGAAGGAGGAATCAGGACGAGGAGGAGACCCCTCTGTTTGATGATGACGCGACACCCAAGAAGAAAAGCGAAGAAAAGAAGGAAGAAGAAGAAGAGAAACCCGCGGCCGCTCCCGCAGCAGAAGAGCCAGAGGAAGACGAGAGAGAGGCGAGACGTCGCAGACGCCGGGAGGAGAGGGAGAGAGAGGCCGCGAAGGAAAGCACGGAGACGGACGACAGAGAGGAGAGGAGGAGGAGGCGGAGAGAGGAGCGAGAGGCTGCGGCAGCCAGCACGACTGACGACAGCGAGGACCGGGCAGCAAGGAGAGCTCGCCGCCGTAGAGGAGGGGATGAGTAGAGAGGGAGCCACCTCCCACGAGGTAACGGATTGGCGTGTGCGGCATGGGCAGATGACTGCGCGGCTTTTTGCAGTGGTTTCCCCCCCGCCCCCCCTGGCATGGTGGTGCATTTCTCATCCTTCATTATAATAAGTTCCTTTATGATTTGCAGCCTTTTGTAACATCATGGATTGTTTTGTTTTGGTTTGATTCGATTGTTTTTTTTCCCATTAACCAGACTTTTTTCTTATTTCCAGGATAGATCGAGAATTTCTTGAGTTTGTCATGACAGCGCATACGTTTTCATTTATGTTTTTTTATATTTTTATAGAGTGTTCATTTCATCATGTTTGGTTTTTCAACTTTTTTGTTTCGTTTGCCGAACTGACAACAGTTTTGTTTATGTTATTTTTTTTTTTAACCCTGTATGAAGGAATGAATGGCCAGTTGAGAAATGAATGCACTTACTAATGTTGATCAAGCAGACTTGCATGAGATTTTGCCAGTGGCTTTCAACAAGATGCTGGGCCACCACTTGACAGATGTTAATATTGATATATAATATTATATCGATGCCATCACCAGCACCACTACTTTACTCGTCTTGTGTCCTTTCATTTCCCGTCTCTTCAAAGTAACCAGAGTGTACTTATTATGGTGTTTAATACTATTCTATCATTTTTTTTAGTATGTACGTGTCATCTTTTAGAATGATGTGGTGTATTTATTTGTCATGTATTGCTGGGGTTTTTGGGTTGATTTTTTGGGAATTTTTTTTTTAGTTGGGGGGGGGGGGGGGGGTAAGGAATGGGGGATTTTGCCAGCATCTAGTTTCCTTAATTTTTGTAAGGTGATCATTAAATCATTTACGTATATTACCAGCAGCTATAAACCATCATCGTAGAAGATTGTTCAGAGTTTATGAAAATTAGATGCTTGCGAAACGCTGGGTTCCTGTTTGCAAAAACCGTTACACTTGTGTAAAGAAATTGTGTTACTACCGTATGTCATCTTTTACAGCCAGGTTCGTTGAGTCAGCCAGAATAATAATGTCACTTGTTTGCCTGCCTGCCTGATTGGCAATGACTTGCGCCCGGTTAGGCAAAAACCTGCCAATGTAATGTAGAGTTTGCACGTGGGTGGTTGGCGGGTGGTGTTTAGTGTGGTTTGCTACTTCTTTCCTATCAAACATCTATCGCCCTAATCTCTCCTCCTTCTTTTTTTGTATTTGTTACCCTCTTGTAACACCTCTGATCTTTGGCACCTGTATGACCTTATTGTGTTGCAAGTGCAGTAAAACTCTTACTAAAACTAAAGAGTTTGCACTGGCTTGTGAGGTGCACACTGAATCTCCCAAACGATAAACCCCCTCACCCCCCTCTCACCCCCCCCCCCCCCCCCCCTCCCCCCAACAAACACACGGACAATGAGAGCCTCCCTAGCACATCTAACTCATGCATTTGTACAGCTCTGGCATTCACCACTGGTCTGCCTTGTTTGTTGATTGCAACTGAGGTTAAGATACACTTTTGACCGGGGCTTTTTTGTTTTTTGTTTCACGGATTGAAAAAATTTTTTTTTTTTTTTTAAATTTCTTTTCCAGGACAGCATGATGTTATTACTAACTTTTTATGTTAAAAAAGTTATCTTTGCCTCCAGATGACATTATTGAATTGAAATGACACGAGGAAATTTTATGAAAATTTGAAATAATATTTGTATTAGATCACTATTCCTATACTTGTACTTGTAAACTTTTCTGAGCGATTCGGCTTCTTGGGCTGAATCCAAAGCAGATTATTTGCAAAGCGAGCACATTGGTTAACCACACTGATATTCTGTATGGCTGTCTGTACCCCAAATATTGATGCTGAAATAACAGGTTTTGAAAAAGTATTTGTGAGTGTTACTACGTTTCTATGTATGCAGTGCAACAGTTTTTAAAATAAATTAATTTTAAAACTTTTTTTTGGGGGAGATGTCGAAAGGTAAGTCGTGTTCCTTTTTAATGCGTGTCAATATTTATCCATGGTTGCAGGTTGGCCTTCTTAGTAAAATACTGAAATATTCTACTATATACATAAGGAATAATTTGTTCTGTACCTGATAGATACAAAGTAAAGATATTTACACAGTTTAAGCCAGGAAAACAGGTGCAGTTTTTTTATTGATGTTTATCTTTTCTGGGGGAACATTTTTAAAAAATGAGTAGACTTACCACTTGAAAGTTTGGTTTGGAGACATATGACATGTGATGAATGTACCTCAAGTACCTGCCTCAGAACACAGAGGGATAGGGGTAGGGTCCTTCCACTTCAGACTACTCTCGGAATTCGTGCTTACTGTTTCTTCAGTTTTTGTTCTGTCTTAAAGTGAAACTAAAGTGAGGGTTTTTTTCTCTCCGTTTGTCTCTGTCTTAAAGTGAAACTGAAGTGAGGGTTTTTTTTCTGTCCGTTTGTCATCCCCAGGGAAAACCTGTTGTTGAAGACTAGAACCATACAGGTACTAAAGCAATGTCTTCCTTTTGACTGATACGGCTGTTGTAACATTCTTTTTTTTTTTAATCTTTCATTTCGTTTTTGGGGCAATTTTTCCCAGACTTGTAGTTTCCTAGATTACTTTCTGTGCATGAGAAGTGTTATTGTTATGGATTGCATGGTCAAATCTTCAGTTTCGGTAGTGTTTCTTTCGTGTCACATGTTCATTGAGTCTTACTTCAATGCCAGTTGCCTGAAACTGGTTTATAGTTTGTATTTTGTGCTGGGGATAGAGGTTCTGGTGGGGGTTTTGTTGTTTGTTTGTTTGTTTATTTTTTTAATGAGAAATGAGCTCCATTTCATTGTTTCTTTTAAGAGGTTGTAGGGATTAAATTTATGCCAATGTAATTTTCTTTATTAATTTTTCAACGCTTCAAAAAATAGCCAAAATTGTCTTTTGTTTTCTCTTCATAACTTTGAAGCAGGTCAGTAGGTCAGTAAGTCAATCGTTTTTCCCATGTGTTTTTCTGTCTGTCGGTTTGAGAACAGTTTAACCGAAGAGAGTGGCAGGGGTACTCGTGAAAGAGGAGAATATCACTTCACTAAGGAAAAACAACGAGAAAATACATTTTATAGATTCCATCATCTTGAAGTTCTTGTGCAGTAAGCCGCAGTTCCCGATCGAAGTTAAGAAAAACAGCAAACAACTTACCTTTAAATCTAAAAAGAAGTACTTTGAGTATCTCCTTTTGAGCTTTTTTTTTTTTCCAATGTTACCTCAATCTTCACTGTAGACTGAAATGTCTGTGTCTTTCAAGATTTTGCGTTCACTTTTGTTGAAAGTAATAACTCCGTAACTTCTCCTGTGTTCAAAGTAGCACATTTTATACACAATATTGTCACAGTTTCTGTGCCACAGTCTTGACTTTCCTGACTTTTTTTGTGTATGGTCTTTAGATGTTTAATTTCAGGGTCTGTTCTGTAAATTGCTACTCTTCTATTAACAAAATTATTGTTTAAGTTAAATGTTGCACCAAAATTTCCCCCTGCATCTGTTCTGTCTTTGTGGATTTTGGTTTTATTTTTTGTTGGGAGAGAGGGGGGTTATATTTTCAAATATTGGTTGTTGGTTTATGTTCTTTTTTTTTCTTTTTCTTGTTTGGTACTCATGCATATTTATTCCTTTACGAAATTCTATCTTTCTTTCAATGCAGTTCGGTATTTGCATAATGATCGCTTTCTGAGGTTATCATTGAGATTGTTTGCAATCATTTAGAGTCTACTTTCTTATGGTTCCTCGAAATTTGTACTATATTAAGTAATGCATGAAACGTTTGGGTTTTTCGGTTCAGAGCACAGAATTGTTTCGTCTGCCATGGTCCTGACTGATTAGCCAGTGACTGGAGGGCAGGTCATGAAGGTGTCAACTCAATGGATAAATTGTTGACAGGCTCTTCAACTCTTTTTAGCCGAGAAAGCAAATAGTTTCTGGGGAGAGAAATAAAACTTTATTTTTTAAAACAATTATGTCGACATAAAGTATCTCTTTGGTTGGGGGGTTGGGTTTTTTTAAAATATTTTTTTAAAAAACATTTTGATTTGGAATTTGGATAAAATATTTCTCGAGCACTCGCATGTGATAGCACACAGAGTGGACTAGTCCTTTTATTTCTATACACTTGAAACTGAAAAATGCTCTACAACACGAGGTTTCACTTTTGGAGATGTTAGATGTTTACTAATTTCTTGCATTTCTGTCTGTAACCGCATATTTGTTTGAAAGATTTGATTGTATTGTTTGTTACATTGCAGGGATCCAATGAGGTGCAATATACTGAGTAGCTCCCACGTTTCTTGCAGTGGTGAGTGACATATTATACTGTCTCTGTGAATAAAAGCCCTAGGATTTGTTTGTTTCAGTGAAGTAAAGCCTTGTTCTGTTTTTTATTAGTTCCTCAGTAGAAAGTTAGGAGATGTAGACTTGTGAAATGGGAAGAGAAAAAATTGGGGGGAAGGGGGGGGGGGGGTGTTAGAGCATGAAATTGATAGGGGGGGGGGGGGGATTTTTTTTTGTTTTACATTGATATGCAATCCGTTTTGTGTGTGCACAGCCAAGAAAATGTTCTTTTTTTTGTGTGTGTGAAATAATAAGTGAATAGACAAAAACCATTCTGTCTACTATCTGTATTGACTTAAATATAAGTAGGGTTGCTATCTTAACACTCCCCCACCACGTCCATTTGATCTAATTTTGTTTTTTTTTCTCCTCAGATTTCGAGGAATGATCTCCCGTTTCGACTAGTGTTCTGTTGTCAACCATGTTCCCTGCTGCAACCTGTAGTGCTAAAGATCTCAATCAAGTTTTTCAACAAAAGTCAGAATTTGAGCTGTCGTCAGCGGTGCTTGTTCTAAGTTATGACACTGTTCAGACATTTTTTTCTTTTGTTTTATTATGTCCGCTTAAAAATAAGTTTCAGTCTAACATTCATTTTGCGTTTTATGCCGTTTTGTTTTCAATTTACAATGAAGTTTTGGTTGAAAAATCGGTCCTAACATGTTGGGATTTGTCAGTGGTGTTTCATCTCTAACAAAAACTTTGAGTTTATCATGGTTGAAGTTGTGGACTTTTTTGTCATAGGGAACCAGCAGTGGTGGCTGTAAGATTCTTGTGTTTGATAAGTTACCAGTAAGTCCCTTTGGATCCTTCTCCCTAGTGTTCAATTTGTTGTTTTAATTTACCTTTGTTTTTTTGTTTAAACTTTTATTCCCCCCTTTTTTCCATTGAACAAGTCACTACCTTATGTTTTGTCCATGCTGATAGCAATATATGCACCCTGTGCAATTGTAGAGTTGTAGAATGAATTTGTATGTTTTTGACTCCTGCACGTTTTGTGCGAGGTACAAAATCTCTGTGGGGTGGAGACCTTTTGTTTCTTATACAATGGCCATGAAAACAAAGCAATAATGTTGCAATCTGTTTTGAACATAGTGGCGCTCGGTTGACACCTTGAGCGTAATGGTGGCGCTCACTTGACGCCTTCTCTACAACATATAGTTGGCAGTTTGAAGTGCACGGCAAAACTTCCAGTTTGTAATTTGTCTTTGAGCGCCCCAAGTACTGGCACTGGGTTTATCTTGCTTGGGGTGCCAGCTCAGCTGTATTTTGCTGCTTTGTTCATCACTCCTATGGAGTTCAAAAAGTCACAAATTATTATACTTGAATGGTATAGTTCTGCCATAGTCATATCATACCTTGATCTCCACGTCACGTTCAAGATGAGGCAAAAGTTACACTACAGTGAAAGACTGTCAGTTCAGTTTTTAAAAATGTTTGTTTGTTTTGTTTTTTTTGTTGGATTTTTTGTTGTTTTGTTTTTTTCCTTTTGGTTTATATTTTCATATCATTGCTGGTGAGAAAACATGGTTGTATTGCATGGATGTGTGAACCCTAGACTGTATTTATTGTCCATGTGAGCTGAGGAGTCCCAACCAGTGGGAACTTGGCCCAACATGTGAATGAAGGCAAATGCTGGGTGTGATTTTAGTTTTTGTTGAACGAAGCACACGAATGACAACATACCAGCCATGTGTTAGTGGTGTGCTGTGTGTCAAAAGGTCCCACCTTTCATTTTATTTTTCACGCTGTAGGGGATTTTTAACTTTCGCACTTGGTGCTGATAAAATTTCTCTCTTTAAAATTCTTTACTGTGTTGTGTAGAACTGGTCGG